GCTATTTGCAGGACATGAAGTTTTGTAAACCTTATATTTCTTTAAATTAAATAAATACATCAGGTTCAAATACATCAGGTTTGGTAGGGGGTATATCGAGGTATATATGATGTCCGTTAAAATCAGTTGTATTGTCACGGGCACTTCAATCGTGCCACAAATGAATGTTGTCATGTCTCGTGCTTGCAAAGGATGCTGCGTTACGTACACTCTATTTAAGGGGTTTGTATGGGAACTCAACAATTTTGTTTTGTTTTATTTATTTATTTATTTTTTGTGGGTACTAAACAGTAGCAATTTAGTACTAAGGTAGGGCAAGATCGGAGATTTTTTACAGCACGTGTATATGTAGCCTTTTCAATACAAATGGATTTGGCAGTTTCTTTTGTTCATGGGGACAGTAATTTTACCACGATTAGAAGAAGCGCTGGCTGGAAGGATTAAAGTACATTAGTCATAGGACATCATTGTCCGTCAAGGACCCTGAATCCCCGTCAACAGACATCATTTACCTTCATTAAACATCACAAACCGTCATTAGATATCCCTCATCCTTATTAAACATCATAAACCATCCCCAGAATTGATTTGCCGTCATGTACCACGTAATTGTCACTTATCGGTAGGCTCTGTTCCGCCTTTTCTGCACATCAGGGACCTTAAACAGTCAGGACGTAAACTCTCAGGAAGACTTCGATTAAAAAATAAATTTTGGCTCGATGTATTTCCGCCTCTTAAGGTGTCACACATTAACTTTAGCATAAAGTGTTAAACAGTTAAATAATTTGCGGTCTTAAAGCAGCCAAATTTTGTATGCATGTATGTATGTATGTGTTTTTGCAATATTTAGACAGGCTGACCCAGTTCAGCCTAAAGCTGGTTAAGTTGTGGGCCTGTATGAACAATGACAAGACCAGAACACCACACCGGGAACTACGTTCCCTACTCTTTGCAAGAAAAGTGTGGGTTCTTTAATGTCCCCTGCTAAACAATATAAAGTATATGCAGAAGACGGGCCCATGTTTATCGTTCTTATCTGAGAAGATAAGAATGTCTAACTATTTGCCGATATCAGTGTAAAGGCAGCACATTCTCCTCAATTATTTTAAGACTATGAGTGTTGTTCCAGTCTGGGACTTGAACCCTCGACCCCCCGCACTGCAGTTCGGCGCTCTACAACGTAAGCGAACGAAGCAGTAATTTCA